GTTTGAGCAACACTAGTAAATTTAACACAATATGTTAGTTTAACAAAAGTTAGTTTATTACGGTGGTAAATAATTTACCAATAGATAACGACAAGTTTGGTGCAACCGGACATTAAAGTCGTAAAGACTTCTTCGGTTGTCAAGAAAAGGCGTACGGGGCGAAACGGAGGTAAGCTTTTTTTCCTTTTATATTTAATTAAAGCTGGTATTGGTGAACCCAATGGGTATTATTATGGCAAACATTAAGTGCTACCACTCCTGCGGCGGACGACGGCTTATCGTCGTGGCCTTAGACCTTATATTTTATATAATATATATATATATATATGTATACACTGTTATGCCCACGATTTCCGTGCATTTTAATTGGTTTTTGGCATTTTATCCCGTTTTCATTGCATGGGGCGCTAGCTAAGTAAAAATCTACTCGACGGTTTGGGGAAAACCCTCTCCCCTCCAAACCGTGTCTATAAATAAGCTCTGCCTCCGCGGTCCGGATTTAATACCCGGCCTTTTAATCCGCGCCTTCCGAGGCGACGATTTACCGTGATAAATAGAATACTATTTATTTGTATACTTATATATATATAAACAGAACAACACTGACTTGAGACAGCTATATGGAACGATTGTTTCAGAAGTCTAATTTAACGGCGTGGTGCGAGATGAAAAATGTCTATGGTGAAATTCGCCCAGTCAAGTCTTGTACACGGCGCGGGTTGATTTGAACATAAAAGTAAATTATTTTCATTTACCCGGCCATTGTAGAAAATAGAGCTTTTCCATTTGGACCGCTTAAACCGCAATACGGACGCCAATGGTAAAACCCAACAGCTGATACATTTTTTTAAGCAAATCAACTTAGACCGTCATCGCACAAGCGAAGCTGTTGTAAGCGTGTCACGTTAGAGTAGACCCGAGGGGCGCTTCTCCCCCTCCCCTTCACCCCCCTGGCTATCAATTGTAAAAATATATATTTATCCTATCTTGGTAAATAAAAATGTAATATTATCAAGGTGGTAGTGTATCGATTTGGAGTTTTTGTTGGCATAAATCTACCGTGAGAAAAGGGGTTACCCCTCTCGCCCCCTCACCACAGACCTACAGGTAAGTGTAGTTTGCTGTACTTTTTGAGAATTTTGAAAAATTCAAAAAATATATGTATTAAAATTGTTTGCAAGTTTGCAAGACTTGACTTAGACGATTTTTGATTTATTTTTCATCTTTTTAGTTTTAAGACTGTTTTTTTTACACACTAAACGGTTAAACGTTAAATATTTATGTACATATTATCAGTAAGGCATATGTTTCTATTTGTATTTTATAATTTTTTATCAACTTTTGTAAGAGGTATTGGTCGAAGAAAACTATCACCCACGAGAACACATTAAAAATACAATATTTTATTTTTGTTTATTTTGCTCCTCTGTAAAATTTTATGCTAATCACTTACACCACTTTAATTATCATCGCCTCAATTGAAGGTTTTTAAAATTTGCACTTTTCTTAATTATGTTGCAGACAACACGTGCAAGACACTTGAGGTATCTCGAGGACATTTTAACGTTTTAGACACATTAAAGTTAATTGAAAACTTAAAGTAATTGTCATTTAAGCGTATTTAAAGTCGACCGGTGCGGGCTACCGTTAGCTTACACCGGTATATGCATAATATAAATAAGAACAATATATGTCATGTGTTTTTTAATAGTGCAATAAAAAATGCGATGCATAACTATTGGTTTTTGGTAGTTTATAAAAACATGACTGATCGAGCGCCTTGTAGGAGATTAAATTTGAAAATAATAACAACAGGGACAGGCGTACAGCTACTCCGTTGAAATATTGGATTTTTTACCAAAATTATATTTCTGTACGGTTAATGTCTAAAAAAAAATTGTACCCCCGTCCTCTACAAGTCCCAAGTACGGTTAATCCAACGTTTGTCGGGCGTTGCTGATAGGCAAAATAGCTACACGCGTGTATAGGAGCAGTCGGTGGGTGTGTGTGTTTGCAATTTAATTCGGCTGTTTTTTTGCACGGTGGTATTAAACGTGTAACTGTTTTTTAATTTATGCGGGACAACGGCCAGCCGTATGAATATTCGGAAGTTGTATGTTTTACACTGGAAATAAAGTATATTTTTTGTTCGAGAAAAAAAATCGCCGTATCCAACGCCAGTCGTACACGTAGGTTATGATAAATTCATTAGTGTCAACCACCGGGGCCATTAATCATCTGCCGAACCCGTCACGATATCGGCTTTCAATTTGTCACCCTACCCGGTGGTCCAAGGGGTCATTATTGTTGTCTGCACCCCCCCGGTAATTGCTGCTAGCCGGCACGTGCTACGCCGCTGTCGGTGCTGTTTTTCTTTGCTTAGTAAAAAAAAATTGTACGGCTAGTTAAAAGAAAAAAACAGCAATACAGCGAAGAAACTCAAAAGACTGCTTTAACGCCTTCCCTCCCCCCCCCCAGCTGTACAGCCGCGTTTTGCAACTATGACAAGTATATTTATTGTTATGTCAACGGGATTGCGCGAGATCTGTTTTTTAAAGAGTTTTCAAATAGGCAATATTTAAGAAAATAGCATTTTTCAACCGAGTCTGCAACCGCGAAAGAGCATTTTCATGTATCGTTAAAGTACCAAATAAATTTAAAGTAGCGGTGGAATTATAGATAATGAAAATATAGTATATTAACAAGCAGTAAAAAGCTAGTATCTCAGGTGGCTAGTAAACATATCAAGTTTCTGGCTAATAGTTTAATGTTTTCATAATATCTGGCTTAAAACAATTCATAGGAATATGACGTCCTCAATTATTGAATTTATTTTTAAGTTCTAGTTTAAACGTTGTGAATACAACATATATCTTATCTCTTATCAGATAACAGCGTAACGCTTTTTTTGTCACACTTTTTTCGTGGCAATTTTTTCGGTTATGTGCCAGAGCCGATTGATTTAGCGGTTAATTTGTATAAGTAAAAGCCATTTCGTTATATTTTATACCAAAAAGCCAGACAAAATAGCAACCACATAAAATGGTTCAAATTCAACTCTGTAAAACCATTTGAATTCTTTGAGTACAAATTTCAGTTTCTTGTTATTTAAATTAATTAAATTGGCAAATTTTTTCAATATTAAAACCCGATTTTTTACATAAATATAGGAAATGTAATATCTTTGAAAGTCATAGTAAACGAACAGGTTGAGGAAAATTAAAAATTCAAACGCTAACATGTTTTCAAACATTTTAGCCAACTATTCAAGGAATTAAAAACGCATTTATATATTTCCATTTGACAAAAAAAAACACAAAGTCCATACATCTTTTTTTACATAATATAAGGGTGGAAGGTAACAATTTTCCAAGTATTGAAAAACATAGTATGGTTTCCAAATATTCCTATTTTCCCAGAATAGGATGCCTTACATCGTCAGATGTGGATCGCCCTGTATATGGCGAATCGATGACAGCGTTTGTTGTTGTTTGGACAGGAAAGGTAAATACTATTATATAATAGTCTGCTACCGGTTTGAAAGGCATGAAATTCGATTGGAAAAGTACCTGAACGAGTGTTTGAGCACACAGGAAACCGCTGGCATGGCAACCACCGTTACTACAATAATAGGATAGCATTACACAAGGCCTCAACGATGACGTAAGCAGCTCCACAGAATCCGTTGTCTTGTTACGTCATCGTGCTACTATATTATAATGTGTGACACACTGTGGAAAATCTCGCCAACGGCGTTATATATTATCATAATATATACTAAATACACTATGCCTATAAATATATATATATTTTGCCAAGCGGATAATTGGATTTTGGCAAACACCTTAATCAAAGCGCAAAACTAAAAATATTTTCCTAAGTTCCCGTTTCAAAGTTTTGCGGACAAGGTATAAAAGAAAGAGTATAATAATAATAATAATAATAATAATATATACACACTTAAGGTAACGACGGTAACAAAAGTTTTCTCGTAAAAAAAAAACCCCCCTTAAATTATTATTTATAGGTGTCTTACTTTTAAATTACAGTACAACAGCGCACAATCCTAGCCGAAAAGTACACACCGCGATTGTGATTCATAAGCAACGGTAGGTTAGGTTAGGTGTTAGGTAAATAATACATTTTTATAGTTTTTAATAAGCGACAAAACAATTTTAGAAAATTCCAAGCATTCAACAAAGGGCCGGGATCGTTTAGCCGAAAATACAATACACGGAAACAATTTATTAACTGTACAAAGTATGGTCTTATATTTAAAAGCTTTATAAAAGCTCGCATAAGTACGGGAGTAAAATAAATTTGAATCTGTATACATTTAATATGAACAACGTGTAGAATAACTGAAATTACAAATTACTCTACTCGTGTAAATTTAATAACTTAACTCAAATATACTATTTTTTGTACATATAATTTACATAGGTATTTGTGAAAGGTACGGGGGAAAACCAGAAAGTCAAAATGGCGATTTGTACTTGTAATCATTTTTATACATAACTACTTTTTAATGTTTTGAAAACATTTCTAAATATTTTTTGAATAAAGACACTCCATTGAAGTGAAACTTTAGATAATAAAGTTTAGCTGATAAGAGATTGTAGTAGGCAAAAAGGAGGAATGAGCTGATAAGAGGTTATCAATTATTGATTCTCTTATCAATAATCCCTCAAAACCGTTATCAGATATGACGTGAGCAAATGTATGTCGTTATCACTATACTGTGGGTGTAAGTAGACTTAAGCCACTATTGTTATAAAAAAATAAACTAAAAAACGTCGAACGAGTGATTTTTAAATCAGATATCAAGCGTAAGTGCAGACAATGAGACAAGTTATCTAAAGGAACAACCGAAACTCTTAGCGTGACACAGACACTGTGCTAAGATTGTGTTCAGATCAAGCAGCACTAAGGCCATTTTTGAAGGAGCCAATCGACATTACAGTCAGGTCGTTAAACTTTATAAATTTAGATTGCCTTACCTGTTTTGACAAGCTTGAACGTGGCAGCGTTGTGCGTCTTCAAACAGTCGTTCAGTGCCGGATGCGTGAGGTCCCTGAGCGACAAGTCGTCGCCCATCGCTGAGGCCATGGGGTTAGCTGGTTTGTCGTTTAGGAGTCCGTCACCACCGTCCACAACTGTGAAACCAAAGTAAGTAATATCGTTGGTATTTTTAAAAAAAAATAAACTAAAATGAATACACACGATAGAAAAAAATTCAGCGTTTTGCCCTCGTGAGAGCGACACCAGCGGGTCACAGTGGTACTCATTCAAACGGCAGCGTGCCTACCACTCTCTTTCGCCTGTCCCGGCACGCACGAATTCTACTTATTCGGGTTTATTAAATTAATATAAAATACCGAAAATTCCACAAACATATATATTATGCATGTACGTTAACGGAATAACGGCGTTAGAACTCCTTGTGCGGACACACATTTTGGTAGAGCCGAATTCAATGACATTTGTGCCTTTGCCAAGGCGTTGTCCAATTTTCAAATCGAGTGTAGGTCACCTTTGTGCTGAGGTAGAACCACTTTGTTTTTCCACAAACTTTACACGATGCCGTACCACCGTGTCTGTTAATGTGGATAGCATCGGTTTTCAAAATGATGCAATTACCATTAGCCGGGCGTGCCCACGTCGAATAACACTCTGACCCCACAAGGCCCTCCTCTTACCCTCTTCGCCATAGGTCAATTTCATTATGCCTAAGGGTTTGTCCGGTACATCATATAGTATTGATTGCGTTATCTTTGCTACATCCGAACCGAATTCTACACTTGTGTTTCGTCCTCACAATCAAGCGTCTTATACAAAAAGCATTTTTCAGCCGAGTCTGCAACCACGAAAGACCATTTCCATGTATCTAAGGTAGCTAGTAAACATACCAAGTTTCTGGCTAATATTTTAGTGTTTTCATAATAGGAATATGACCTCTTAAATTATTTGGAATTTATTATATTTTAGTTCTAGTTTGAACGTTGTGAATACAACGTATCTCCTATCTCTAATCTCTTATCAGATAACAGCGTAACAAGTTTTAGTTACGTCAGTGTTTTCGGTTATGTGCCAGACCTCTAAGACATGAAAATGTCAAAAATAGAAAACGCCAATTGTCTTTATATTATTTCTCAGACTAATCAAGCGAGTCAAAAACCAGTTGAAGCATCGTTAACCGGTCAACGGAATCGCGGCAAAGGTCCATTTGAAAACGACCGTTTCTAATAATAATTGTATAAATGGGTATAATAACAGTAGAAGGAAAATACTCTCAAGGGTGGCAGTCTTCCAAGCACACTATTGTTGTGGAAACAAAACAACATTTTGTCGTCTATTGTTTGCTAAGAAATCCGAGAAGTCCGGATAATAAACACCCATATCATAACGTGTACTCGAACAGCCGCTATATAGTTAACAAAGTCTAACAAGTATGTAAACCAATGTAATATTTTATGTGTCAATCAAGCGTAACATCCACACCGTATATACTACAATCAATCAATGACAACAAATTGATATGAAACGCAGCGCCAGAACTTAAACGCAGGCATTTGTTCGCAGTACTGGTATTGTATTTTTAATGGCTTGAACCATATTTTCATGTTCGGTTTTTTTTACTCGTTAAATGTTAGACAAAGTACAAACTTAAAAAAATAGTTTTAGTTCATACACTAATGATCTACCGGAGCTGAGTGTGCGAAATTCAAAGCGAATATTGTAAATATATATATATATATTATTAATACACGCATAATAAGACACTCTACTTTTTGTCGTTTAAGCTCCACATGCTTGAGCGTCACGCTAATTGGAATATCGCAGAGAAACGATTTCAAGTATCCGAGACATCACTATATTGTTGAGCACCTTGAGAACAAAGTATGTATATTACAGCCGAACAACACACCCACTACAGTAAAATATACTTGAGCATGTGATCTTGCATCAAAGCAAACCACCGATAGCAATACTACGACACTGTTGTAGTATGTGGTTTAGGAAATATTATACATCTAATATGTTTGCATAAACTTCAAATCTACCAGAAATTCTTGCGAGACGAAACAGAGTCGTCGCCAAGGTGTTTTTATTATACTACTATTTTAGTATAAGGTGAAATTCAGAAGTCTCATAAAGATGGCAACGACAAAGACAACTCAGTTTGATGGTATACAAATAAATCCATTGAGTTCAAATAACGTTCCATCGACATATTTTCCTCCTTTAGTTTTTTTTAACGATGTTTGGTTACAATTATTATTTCCATTAGGCACAACACACTTATGTCTTGGGGCTACAACAATAGACTCATGATAATGTTTTTTATATTTAAAAAAAGTTATCGGCAAACTTATTTTCTCATAAGGTTTTAACAAAAACAAATATTCAAACTAATATTTTTGTTTATACTTGTAGGATTATTGTGAACAATTAAAATAGCTCCAAAATAGAACGAGATAGGCAAAAAATAATGATAGTAACTGAATCAATGTTTAACGTTATATGGTTACAAATATTTTAATAATTAATAATTTTTTTTTTAATTTGAAATTCTAGAACAGTTTCACTTCATTCGATTTCTATGATATTGAATAAGTCATTACATTTATTTAAACAATTCTACGAATTTAGAAACGAATAAATATTAGAAAAGATGATATTGTATAAAATATGCTTTGTTCAGCTGCTTATTAAAAAATATATTATATTTAATTAATATTTGTAGTATTGTAAATTAAAATCGAGGAGGAGGGCTTACTTCGGACAGTACGGTTTTGGCTGCAGTAGCAACGTTGACCGGACCGCTGCTGTTGACGCTGTCGTGTTGCGGGTCGACCGAATGACAGCTGTAAGACTTCGTCCGCCGGGAAGATGACATACATGCTTCGGAGCGCAACATGGCGATGGACTCGCAGCCCTGCACTGGTTTAAAGCGGTTTATCTGGAAAACATAGACATATTTAAATTATAAAGATTACCATTATTATATGAACAATATATTAACACAATATATTCAACTGGATACAAGTAATTTCATGTCACCATTTTTGCGTTACACTTTCATCTATAAGGTATAGATAAGAGATAAGTGATAGAAGAATAAAGATAAGAAATGTGATAAGAGACAAGTACCGATATATATATATAATAAACTAGATTGCCAACTAATGTCAGGAACAGAAGTCAACGTCCGCCATTTTTGTGGAATTTATGTGTGTATAAAACAATATAATAGGTATATCTGTGATTCTATGTTATCAGTTCGACTTGTATTTGTTAAAAACATATTTTCATTTGATACACGGTTCTAATTCCCACAAAGATGGCGGAAAATGGTAACTTCAATTATCTCTATTGGCGACATGTACACTTAGCAATCTAATTTGTTAATTATATATATATATATTTATATATCTGTGGCTATAGATATAAGAGATGATTGTTAAGTGATAAGTGATTAGTGATTAGATGCAAGACATGTGATAAGAGCATATACATATATTACTAGATAGCCGACTATGCATTTAGACGTATTCTCAACAAATGAAGCTTGGCCGCCTTATGCAGTGTGGTCAACGTTTACATTAGTTACCAATATTTCATTGTGGTAATGAGTTATAAGATTCACCTTGTGTAAGGTCTATTACTATAAGGTGTATTATTATTATTGTATTAAAATGAAATATTGATGACACAATAAAAACATTGACCGGCTATCTAGTAATATATAATATGTATCTATGGATAAGAGACATGAGATATAATCCACGATTCAATATTTTTCCGTGGAGTGGTGAAAAATAACTAGATTTTTATTTTATGCGTAACACATAATATATAATACTCGAACGGGCAAAAGGGACAATGCGTATAAGGTCTTATCGCAAAGGAAGGGGAGGGAAATATGATAGATGGGTTGGCACTTGGCGCAATTTCAGCGGATGCTAGCTACACTCAAAACTCTGATAAGTTTGAGTTATTAGTATTAAATTATTAGTGGTAATCAATAAATCTTCCACAAAAAAAAAAAAATTTAATCTAAAAGTTCAAGCTTTTTGGACGGTTTTAACTTGAGTGTTTGAATACGTCTAGCACTTCTTGATATTGCACCAATGGCTAAGGACGGATTCGATTTGAATTGATTGTCAAGAGATGCGCAATGCCGTTGAAGTACCGTCAAAGATAGCACATTTATGTCAGCGATTTTCAGTTCAGACTCGTTACCGCAACCGTATAAGTACCACATAGGTATAAAAACCAATACGGTATTTGCAAATTCTCAACTTAACGGTGCGTCGGAGACCCTTAGCAACAGGTACCTATTTTTCTATTTTATTATTTGTTATCCTATTTTCTAAACGGGACACGCCTGGGAAAAGCCGTTTCATAATGGATTACTCCAGTAACAACTAATGACCATTTTTTTTCGCCTTTGCCTTTGTCGCAACAAGCGGCTTTAATGGCGCAATAAACACATCACTGTGTAAAATAAAGTCAGTAATAGCAAAAACAAAACACTAGCACAGTCGAAGCGATCACAGTTCTGAAAAAATTCTAACCGAAACATCAATAGCTAACAATACAGTGTGTCTAGTCTTATTCCTTTCTGTCAATAAGTTGTTATTTAAGAGAAAAACCTCAGTTTATTAAAATTCTCGGAGGACTGCCAGCTTCCTAAAAGTAATAATAGAAACATTATCTTAACAAGTATATCCAAATAGTTCTGAAAAAATTAAACATTTATTATTACGTATTATTTATTAAATGGATAAGTAATAAAAATATTTTAAGATAGTAATATGGTAACATTAATTATAAAATGTATAAATACGGTTTTTTGACATTTTATGTCTTTACTTTGGCACATAATCGGAAAAAACGACAGTTTTTAGCGTTAAAAAAAACCTTAGGGAAATATCATATGATTTATCTGATAAGATAAGAGAGATACGAGAGACAAGTGATAAGAGATTAGACAAAATCGACAGTTACCAAAAAACCTAACGGTCCTTATATATTTAAATCTGTTTTTTCTTTTCATTTGCATAACAAAACTAAAATGTATATAAAAAAAAATTGCATTTTTCTTAATAAAAAATAAAATAATTATGACAATTATTTTAAAAAGTAAGTATTTTCTTAAAAAGTCGACTGGTTAGGTTTTGGAATAAAAAAATTAAACAGAATGTAAAAAGTACAGGCGGTATTTTATACAATTATGATTATATAATTAAAAACGATAAAATGTACATTAATTTTGTTTAAAACTTTTTTCTCATAAAAAAAAAGTCAACGGGCGAATACCGAAGATTGTATGATGTTTTTTTATACAAATAGTTTTTTGACAAGTCATAAACGTTCTCGGTAAAACGACTCGACTCTAAGTTTGCAAATGAAATTTCATCAAAAACTTTTGTCCGTATAATTTTCTATAAAAAAAATAAAAAAACATAGCTCTTTTAATATCTCTAACGAAACGAAAATTATTATTTCTACCGTAATAGTATAATGAATAAAATATGAGATAACAAACTTATTTTAAAAACTATCTAACAAAACAACTTGATAGGTAGGCGGCAATGGAACTATGTAAAATACCGAAGAGTCACGATCAACATAATAATATGTTAATATTATTTTAATATTATTATAAAGTATAAACCAACATATTTTGTCATATTTTACGTTTGGGTAAAATTATTATAAACGGTGCACCGGCGGTAAAACCACATTTGGAATGTTCGCAATAGCAATAGCACAAGAATATTGTACATGTTAACGAGCCCTAAGTATAGCGTCGACGGTGCACAGACTTAATTAGATTAGAGAGAGAGAGATGCCATTTTGGGGCACCTCGGCCGGTCTATGTATGTATACATATGTAGCAACAACTGTCGACCTCCGGATTAGGTTAAACTGTACAAAATTACCATTCGGATTGTCCGGCCCACAAAACTCCCCTTTAAGCTGCGAGGAATTATGTTAATTTTGCTAGGCTTACATAAAAACTTCCACAAGGATCCGGATGCATGTTATCTTAGTTTTCTTTTCGCTCTAACGTTTAGTTCAAAAATAACTAACGAGTATCCACACTACAACCAGATACATAGACCCTGGTACTTTTCTTATCTCTAATCTTTAATCTCTTACCTTATATCTCTTATATTTTATCTCTTATCTCTTTTTTCTAATCTATTATTTTTAATATCTTATCAATAATCCATTTTCACTAATCTATCATCTCTAACATTCTATCTGTAATCTATTATCTCTACTCTCTTTTCTCTTATCTCTAATCCATTATCTCTATTTTTATCTCAAATAATTTATCTGTTATCTATTATCTCTAACACATTATCTCTATTGAGAATAGATAGAGTGCCGAGATATGAATGGGGTTATGTATATGCCAGTGTCGAAAGTATGTATGTAGTAACAGAAGATTTTAAGGTTGGAGTAGGTGTGCACCAGAATTTAGCTTTGAGCCCTTACTTGTTTTCACTTGTAATGGATGAAGTTACAAGGGCGAAGATACATGATGTTTGCAGATGATATACAAGATAACAAGACAGGCTTGAGGAATGGAGAATAATACTTGAAGGAAAGGGACTGAGGATTAGTGGAACTTGTACGGTTCAGAGTGTTAGGTGGTCGTCAGGAAACCAGAACAGAAAATCCTAGCCATTTGAATAAATCCACACTGAAGGGACGTACTCGGCTTAAACGGGAGGAGACATTTTGTCTGAGATTTTACGAATATTGCAATATTATACTATTATACACGACAAACGGAGATCCAGCTTCTTTTGTATTCAAGACACGGAGAGTAGTCATGGCCCCGAGTTTTATTATATTGTTTTCTAGACCAATTTAGGCGTTTGGCAAAGGGCAAGGCGGTACGCACCTTTATCCCTACTCTGTTGTAATAATAATAATTCAATTCCCCTTTAATTTATATGTACGACCAGCCTCGACTCGTAATTAATCGACTGTCGTCTAATGCACTTGGCCGACACGTTTCACACGGCTTTACCTATCGGTTAGGTAATCTCACAACGAGCACAAGTTGATGGCAAAACGACGTGGCAGATTTACATTACAGTTTGAATTTCTAATATCGAATAGAGCTAGACGTGGTGAAGAACTGAGTAGATCGCAAAAGTAAAATATCATGAAGTAAGCAAAAAGACTAGCTACAGTGTGACCACAATAACGAAATTACATTTCAAAACATATTGCTTATCACTTAGTATAGGTGCTAAGCTACTAGTTTATCACTATATAGTTGATAAAGATTTTTCTGTGCGGTGTTTAACAACCTATCGAAAAAAGGATTTTTTTTTACTTAAAGTGGTCACACTGTCGCTCGCCTTCTTGATTACTTCTTGATATGTTACAGCTCTATATTTTTATTTTATGGTCTAAAATTAGTGAGACGGATCAACAATAATTGATTTTTTTTTTTGTAGGCAGTTTTTGTGCATGGAATTTAGATTTAAAACGTCATTAAATATTGTTAAATAAAATATTTTGTTCAATTGTCAATTTTTTCATTTGTTTGATTTCGACCGAAATTTTGATAGAATTTAAATGAATATTTACTAATAATAACATTGCTGATGTGAGTATGGCATATTTTGTTAGTGTTTGTATAATGTAATTTTAAATTTGGGGTACGATAGTTAGATCTGAGCGTGTTAGTATAATATTTTATCATGGTTATTAATAATTACCTCACGAACCTTTTTCGTCATTATTATTTGTTAGCTATTAATTATTATCAATATAATGTTAATAATAATATTAAAAGCATAAATACTCTTAAATTCGTTTGATGATTAAAATACTATTATGAAATCACAGTATTCGACATTGATCTATACATATTATATTTAAAAATTAATTTATATTTAATCAAATATAGCACAGCTCGTTGACTCC